GAGAGAGAGAGAGAGAGAGAGAGAGAGAGAGAGAGAGAAAGAGAAAAGAGAGAGAGAAAAGAGAGAGAGAAAAGAGAGAGAGAGAGAAAAGAGAGAGAGAGAAAAGAAAGAGAGAGAAAAGAAAGAGAGAGAAAAGAGAGAAAGAATGAGAGAGAGAGAAAGAATGTGAGAGAGAGAAAGAATGAGAGAGAGAAAGAATGAGAGAGAGAAAGAAAGAAAGAAAGAAAGAAAGAAAGAAAGAAAGAAAGAGGGAGAGAGGGGGGGGAGGGTAAAAGTGCAGTGTCATGAAATTACAAATATATAACAGTACATTAAACATAAATAAATTGTAAAACTCACCTTCTGCTTTCAGCACCTCTTCTTCCTGCTCCTTCTTCTCTTTACCTGCATTAACCTCATCTTTCCTCTTCCTTCCCCTCTTTTTCACTTCCTTCGTCTCCTTCCTCCCCTCTTCAGTTTTTGCCTTCACCTTTGCTTGCTTCTTTGTTTTCATCTTGTTTTCTTTGGAGTTAATCCAGGACTCATCCTCGGAGCTAACCTGTTCTGATTCGTCCAGTTCGACCATTTTGTTTCCCGAGATAGGCCGCCCGGAATGGGAGTAGGCCACTGTCTGGGGCTCCTGCACACTGGGGTTCCCTGTCCTTGGAGCCTGCAGTGGGTTTTTGCAGGGTCTTCCTGGGCCTCGCTGTACTTTGGGCTTGGAGGTTGTTTTCTTGTCATTCTTGTCTCCCTTCTCTACGGTCTTCTTTGGTCTGCCTCTCCTCTTGATGGGTGCTTCTGGGGATTCAGAAGTTGTTCTAACTTTATTCCCGTCCTTCTTTATAGGTCTGCCTCTCTTCTTGACATGTGGTTCTACTGAATCAGATGAAGTCATTTCTTCTCCTTCTCTTGCCCCCTTTGGCTTTTCTCTTCCTTTCGGTATTAGGTCTTGTGATTCGGATGAATTTGTTTCTCCTCCATCCTTCTCATCCTTCTTACTCTTCCTTGGCCTGCCTCTTTTCTTGACAGTTTGATCCAACGGCTCAGATGCAGTCGATTCTCCTCCATCTTCCTCAGACTTCGTACTCTTCCTCGGCCTGCCTTTTCTCTTGACAGTGCGATCCTGGGACTCGGATGTAGATGATTCTCCTCCATCTTCCTCAGACTTTGTACTCTTCCTTGGCCTGCCTCTTCTCTTGACAGTGCAATCCAGTGACTCAGATGTAGTCAATTCTCCTTCATCCTCCTCAGACTTTGTATTCTTCCTTGGCCTGCCTTTTCTCTTGACAGTGCGATCCAGTGACTCAGATGCAGTCGATTCTCCTCCCTCCACATCAGACTTCACACTCTTCCTTGGCCTGCCTCTTCTCTTGATAGTGTGATCCAGGGACTCGGATGCAGTCGATTCTCCTCCATCTTCCTTGGGCTTCATACTCTTCCTTGGCCTGCCTCTTCTCTTGACAGTGCGATCCAGTGATTCAGACGAAGTTGTTTCTCCATCCTCCTCCTCAGACTTTGTATTCTTCCTTGGCCTGCCTCTTCTCTTAACAGTGTGATCCGGTGACTTAGTTGCAGTCAATTCTCCTCCCTGCTCCTCAGACTTCATACTCTTCTTTGGCCTGCCTCTTCTCTTGACAGTGTCATACATTGACTGAAATGCAATTGTTTCTCCTCCTTCCTCATTATCCTTCATACTCTTCTTTGGATTGCCTCCGCTCTTGCCAGTATGATCCAGTGACTCAGATGCAGTCGATTCTCCTCCATCATCCTCAGACTTCATACTTTTCCTTGGCCTCCCTCTTTTAATGGCGTGACCTAATGATTCAGATGCAGTCATTACTTCTACTTCTTTTTGCTTCTTCTTCTTGCTTTTCTTTGGCCTTCCTTTCCTCTCAGCCTTCAGTTCTGTACCCTCTGACATCATTCCTCTGGCCCCTTCTTCGTTCTCACTCTCAATCCTTTTCTGCTGTCCTTTCCCTTTGACTGGAGGTTGAGGTGATGAGGATGAGCTTCTTGAGGTCTTTTTGGGGCTGATTTCCTCCTGATCCTTACTCTTCCTCTTCAAGGCTTTGGGTATGCCTTTAGAGTTCTCCTTGCTTTCCACATGGGAGTCCTTGGCACTTGTCTTCTTGCTCAGCTTCAGAACAAGTGTGGGGTTTGCCTCAGGGCCCTTGCTTCCAGTATTCTTATTGTATTCACCAAGGACCTTCACATTCTCAGCTCCTCCCTTTTCTTGATATTTTATGATAATTTTAGGAATCCCTGCATTTTTTTTGGTGTTTATTGTTCTCTCTTCCTCCCTCTCCTCCTCCTCCTTTTCCATTTTGTGATTCTTCTCAGGGATTTCATCTTCTTCCTCTTCCCAGTCTGTTGTGACCCTAGTACGCTTCTTGGGGGCAGGCTGGTGAAGCTCTGATGCAGGAATGAGGGGGAAACGGCAATCCACTAGCCATTTCCCCTGTAAGAACTGCTCTAGGGGGCACTCAGCATCATGGTTGGCTTTCATGCTGGTCACCATTCT